GGAGGAGCCTTTCCTAAGGTCATGAGGAAACAGCATTATCCCAGGAATTAGCAGAGCATTCCTTTGTTTGGAGAATTGTTCTGGAACCCAAACTGTACAACAGAGAGTTACTTGCTTGATGAAAGCTGGAATTTTGAGGATTCTGACATCCTTGACTGAGATGAACTATTACATAATTTTATTAACTTGTTAAAGTACAGTGCTTGTTTTGGTTTATTTCGACAGAATAAGATGCTGAAAAAAAAATACTGCAGAAAGCAAGAAAAGTAGTGTTTATGAAGGGAAGGTAGGTTTTAAATACCATCATGTAGAAGATGAGGTGAGTGTTTTAAGTCCCAGTGTAACTAATGATAATGCTTATTAAATACATCCTGGTTTATGGAAGGTAAAGGAAAAACTGTAATTAAAATGCACAAATATACCATAAAACCTGTAAAAATCAGTAAAATGTACCATAAAAAAAACCCTGTAAAATGTACCCTAAAACCTGTAAAAATCTTGGCTATATTTACAAAATAGAGAATAAAATCTTCACCTGTATTTGTTATTTCCAAGGAATTGACAGCATTTAGGGTGACCGCTTAGGGCTGTCTTCCCCATTGCTGCTGTTGCCGTTGTTTCTTTGAGTATTTTCTAACTCACTTCAGGCCAAAGTTCAATTCTTTATTAAAAAAAAGCTGAACTTTAAATTTAAAACAGTCTAATCATATACCTGAAAAATTATAGAGTGTTTCTGCTCAAAAAAAAGAGGTAAAAAAATAATTAGCATATTAAGTCCCAAAGAAATGACAGCAACAATTCTGCATTCTCAAAAGGTGAATAAATTGCAGTTAGAGATGGAAAATATGAACAAACAACATAAGGAAGCAGTTGACATTTCTCAAAAAGACATAGAAACCAAAAAAGTGAAAGAAAACAAACTTCATGAAGAGGTGAGAGGTGTTAGTTTTTACTCCAATTAAAAATTGGTTTTGATTTACAATTTTTTTATAATGCATCGTTGGCCAGAGTCCTTGCTTTTACATTTCAGTCTTATCAGCATAAATGGGATTTCTTGTGTATGCCTGTGAGCAAAGCTTTAGTATATTAGGTGCTGAAGTTGAAATATTTGAATATGA